GGCGCCCCTAGACCCACCTCTAATGAGAGAAGTCAAAATATACCAGTGGCCGGAGGCTACAGCATCCAGAAATGGAGGAACTGGGATCGCACTGGCCTCCATGTGCCTTCCCTTAGTGATAAGCGATCAGTGTAGGATTCTTTTCCTGCATGTTATTACTTTACTACACAGAATTGTTATCTAGATTGTGCTACAAATTGACTGTGTTTAAAAGGTAATCACTTGTTTTCTCCAAGTATAAATTATATCAAATGTCAATTCAAATTCACAGATTATTATTTTATATAGAACTTACAATTTTTAAAACTTTGAATTCCTATACTCCCTGTGCTTCAAAAGGAACAGGGCATGGCAGGAAGCATCATTAGTTTATTGTATTTTTTTAAAAAATAATTTTATTGAGAAACACAGCAATGAGAGTTTCAAAACCGATTACTAGCACAGTTTCAATAGTTAATACATTGCATATTGTTGTCTTAGTGGTTATTCATGTACAAGATATCCTGTCCACAAACACTACTAGAACAAATCTCTCTATTCATTGAATTAAGAGAATGCAACTGTATATCTATCTTAACTACTATGAATATACAGATACAAAATGGTCATTCTTTTGTATCCCCCTTTTTTGGTTAGTTTTGTCAGAGAAGGGCATTCCATAGTCATTTAAATATTGTAAGTGCGTGAATTCAGCAAAATAAGGTTTTACTTTTAGGCAGTGGCTCAAGTGACACTTAGCTATCAATTAGCGAGGAGGCTATTCATTCAATACATATGGCACTAAAGGGAGAAGCTCAAGGCATACTTACATTCTTGTTTAAATGTGAAATACTCTGTTAGATGTCTACATTCATGATTTCCACGAAGTAAAAACAGTGTTTTGGGGTAAAGAATTTTCAAGGCCCACAAATACAGCACACACTGGAAAAAAAGGAAAAAGAACAACATAAAAATAAACATTTTTTTCCCATTGTACTTGTGAAAGTCAAAGCATTCATGTCATGAAGATGTGAGTCAAGCACGTGCCCATAGCCTACGTCCCCAAGCCAGGCCGTAGCAGGGAGGATGCTGCCAATTAGACCAAACAGTGCTTTGCACGAAGCTGACATCCCATGTAGAATCAGAGCCACAGGCCACACAGTGACAGGAGGCAGACACGGACCGAGGAAGAAGCCTAAGGGCAATGTGCTACCACACAGTGCCTGTCCGCAACCAGCACCTGGTAAGAAGCCACAGGGGATATAAAGCAGTATGTCAGGAAATACTCTCATTTTCATGAAAATTATGTTCTGAAAGTAAAGGTAAGAAGGTGACATCCATAAAAATATTGAGACAACTTATATTCTGGCTACCGAATCTGAAACAAAAACACACGTTTTATTTTATACATCAGTTTCCCAACACAAAGCAGGTATGCTGGCAGAGGCCTAGCGGGAGAGGCTGCTAGCGTTCTGTCTGGTGCGCTACTGGGGAAAATAATCATCTCTGTGGGCCTCTACGGAAATTTATGAAAGGAGTGGAAGGTAATTTTATGTTTCAATATACAGCTGAAGTTCTAAAGAAAATGCTAATTATTAAAACAATTGTATATTACTATATTGTTCAACAAGGTATTATCACCAACTATGAGGTTATGTTTAAAGCAAACAATGACAGAATGACATTAATGTCATGTACTGAAAGTAGAGGTAAGAAGGTGACATTACATGTGCTACTTTGCTTAACTTCCTATGACCAAGTTCTAGCTAGAGCAAACATCTGAGCTCAAGCGTTGAGGAGACAGGGTTCCTGGGCTGGCAGCACGCAGCCTGCAAGGGGTCCCTACAAGGCCATGGGGTGTGGACTCCCATGGTCTCCATAAGGAGCATGTTTCATATCTGAGAATCTGGCCTGTATGTCAGCTTTATAGCACCACACAGCTGCACTGTACCACCCAAAGCCACCTCACACTTCAGAAGAGATACCATTAGTGAACTACCATTAGTGGTAACGAGAGGACTGCACCTAAGTTAAAATGTACAAGCATATACCTTAATCTGAGTTTGACCTATATGTGTCTGACAAATTTCCTGTCTGTCTGTCTGTCTGTCTGTCTGTCTGTCTGTCTGTCTATCTATCTATCTATCTATCTATCTATCTATCTATCTATCTGATTTGGAATAGGAATGGGTAAGTAGAGCCCTTCAAATATGCTGACATTTCTCTAGTTTGGTGCTTTACTGAGGGAGAGAAGAGCATGCTGTGGCTTCCCTGGGCTACATACTGTGGGTCTGGCTCATGAAGCCAAGGACAGTAGTGACAGGTCACATCACATCTACCAATCCATGAACCCTGCCATGCGCTCTTCTCAAACTGCTTCTCATACCCAGTTACAGGCTAGTACTCAAAGACTCCCTGTCTCCAACTTTCTAAAAAATGTAATAAAAACTCTTACCTCTTTACGTTTTTTTTTCTCTGTAAAAATTTACTGCAAACCTATTACCTATCCAACTAAAAACTGGTGCATTTAAAAAACCCCAATCGAACAGCGGAGAAGTCATATCCTAGGACCCACCATGTTTTCCCTTTGCCATATGTTAAGCATCTTGCTTTGACACTAGCATGTAGTTCTACAACTTCATCACCTTTCATCTTAATTGATGTGGCTCTTTCATTATCCTTTTAAAAGCCCAAAGAGTGGTACATATGTTCCATGCTAAACCTGATCATCTCCATGGGGTACCCTCACATGGTGTGAAACACCTGATATTCCTCATCCTTTAGTGGATGCAAAATCGGTAGCAAATTCTAGGAGTTTAGGAAATATTAACTCCATTTCTGTAAATAGGAATGAAAGAAGAAACAAAAGGAAGGAGGAAAAGAAAGAGGGACAGAAAGAAAACAGAGAAGGAAAATTATCCCATTTCCAAATTCCTGGCTCCAAATACCATAGAAATAAGAGTTCTCCTTTCACATTTTATTTCCCTCTCCCTTGTGGCCAGAATAAAGTATCTTCCCAAACACTAGGAAAACCACAAGGGCAGCCAATATGGAAGAAGTGGTGGAAGGAGAGGGAGGAGCCCATCAGGCCTCGCCCTCAACATCTGGCAGAAGCCAGTGGCCAAACACAACACAGACTCGCTGGCAATGGCTCTGCATCTACAGTCCCAATGTGCTGCAGCGCTCAAGAGCTTCAAGAAAATTATAACCTGCTATCGGGGGGGGGGTTTTGAAGTAGGAGTTTCTTACAAAAAATCACATCAGTGAAAGAGATAGAAAAATGAGCTAAAAATAATAGGTTATCTTGTGCACATGGTACTTGGTGACTCTGATGAACCCCCCCATGCAGGAACTGTTGAGGCAACACCGCTCAGGGTCCATGGCCGCTCGGTGGGGGAGCTGTGAGTGATCCCCATCACCTAAGTGACCCACCAATTATCCTCCAGCCTTACTCTTCATTTAACAGATAAGTGCAACTTAAAGTTAGTTTGGGTGACCCAGATAAATACTAGGCCTTCTCTTTTTGTTAATTTTCGTCATAGACAAAAGGTTTTTCCTATTTATTTATCTTCCTCAAGAGAGTAGCACTAAGAATATTATTTCATTTGTTTAATTAGCTCATTGATAGTAACACTGCAATGGTTTCCTCTGTGCCTCTCATTTTTCCATGGTGAGTGTTCTTGAATAATTGCATAGGGAAATAGAGGATGAAGAAAGCAAAAAAATAAAAAAGAAAACACAGTGATCAGCTCCCTGAACTGGTAAGCTATCCACACTGTGAAGTTCTCCCACTATAGGACTTTCTCTCTATCACTGGGTGATGGCACAGGGTGTGCACTGGCTGGGAAGGGGTACAAACTCCTGGAATGTCACCTGCCTTGTCTGACAAGGGCCCTGAGCAGCAGCCATGGGAAAGTAACGCACTGTAGAGGTCACAGGCTGCAGGGAGACAACAGATGATTGTTCTGGAGTCTACAGTGCCACTCTGTCACTGCACCTTGCTTGCTGCAGGCTGGATCACTAGTGTCAGTCAGGTTGGGCCACAGAATACTGCTTGGCTGGCTGTGGGTCACTCTGGTGTCTGAGTTAACAGCTAACGAACACAACAACTTTCACACTTGAAAGTGCTGGAGGCAAGGTAAGATCTGGATGCAAACAGAGCAGAGTGGGATGGCTTGGGAGCCCAAGTGCTGCACAGACAGCTCATGAGGGAAGCAGAGGAGCCAGCTGCATGCCCGTCCATGCAAGTCTGAGTCACTCAGGCACATGCACACACATGTGCTTGATCAGACAGAAGTGGTGTAACGCAATCATCAGCATGGGGCATTGATATCAGACAAATTATTTCCCCAAATTAAGGCACCTCTTTCGTCATTACTCAACAGCTGCCTTGTATCTGGGCTAACTTTGTGAGACATGCTTTCTAAATCCTGGCCAAAAAGAGAAAACCGGGGAGGTTGCGGGGAGAGTGCAAAAATTCAGCTCTGTGTGCTGCCCGGGGCACATTACTCAGAGTCAATAAATACGCCTGGCAGAGAAAACCAGACTACTCTTCAGAGCTGATTTGGTAAAAAAACAGAGCTGCTCTCTGCTCAGAGGACAGCTGAGGAGAGGCCTCACAGGGAAGCCTTGGATTACTGTGATGAATCAGCAACCTTCTGAAACCTATTAGGACGGCACTGATGGAGAACTAAGCTTGGATTTCAGGGTTTTTCTTCGACCAACAATATACTTATGGGGAATATTCTCTGTTGAATGCAATGACCTTCAGATTACAAAGGTGGGGAGGGAACTGCGCCAACATGGTGCAGGCGGTGCACAGTATGAGCCAGCTGGCGTCCCCGGGTTCTGTGCTTCCATGGCATACAGCATGACCAGGCTGTGGGTGGTGCAAAGGGCACAGGGGTCGAGCCTTTGCACTGCACTCCTTGTGTGTGTCCCACAGAAGGGAGCTCTGCATGTTCTTCCCACAGCTGGGGGCACAGATGCAGTCATTCATTCACACCATTCAACAGCAGCATCTAAGTGTGCAAACAACACTGGCTTCCCTAATCCATGCATACTCAGTAAGTACATTTTATATACATGTCTGTTCTCATTAAGTGTGATAGTGACACCACTGAGACATTCTAAAGCCCCTCAAAGGTCACAGTCTTATTAACACAGATCACCTTACATATGAGACATCTGTCATTTCTGTATGTCCTTAGCAAGTTCATGGGCTGTCCCTTCAGACTCCTGGAGCTCAGCTCAAGAGCCAGTTTGAGATTGGAAATGTCAAGATATGCACCTCAGAACTTTCATATGTTCCATTATAACACCATGTGGTACAATACCAATATATAATCTGGTTCTTTGCTTGAATGTCAAAAGGAGCATACTATACAAAGCATTGTCTTTTTTCAAATATCTAAGTTAACTGTAGATTTAACATCTTCAGAGTCAAAATAGTTGAACAAGCTAGTGAATATTGATTTTTGATTTTTTTTTACTTAAAAAATAGAAAGCTCTAAACAGCTCACCTTAGGGAAAGTCTAGGGAATTTCAAATGGTTTGAGGGCACAGAATCAAAAACTGAAATCTTAAAAACACAAGCTAAAGAAAAACCAATGAAATTTAAGAAATAACACAGCCAACAGAGCCAGTCCAAGACAGAGCTGGTGAGACACAGACAGTCCAGCTGTGCTGTTATTAGGCAACACATGGTGTAGTACTTTCTCTTTACTGCCAAATTAATATGGAACATTATCTTTGGTTTAAAAATTACAAACTAAGTTGGTAAAAAGAAATCACAAATTTCATGATACTACAAAAATTTCTAATACAGCACTCCACCATTTGCCTGATAAAAGTAATTCCTCCCCAAAGGACAGCCTCAGGGCTCCCTCACTTGGGGGAGCTGCAGAGAACAAAGAACACTTCCATTCATCCCCAGAGTCCTTCTCAGAAACACTACAGATGTCAAGTGAACAAGATGGGTCTGAAGTACTGAAGTAACCCGCTTGGAGGGGAAGAGCAGGCTCTTTACCCTCTCCTTACAATTCTGCCTTCCATCTTGTTTTTAGGCCTAGCTACGGAGGCCTTGATGACCTGGGATGGCAAGCTGGGAAGCTACGCATGTCTGGAAAGCATCCTTGAGCAGGAGCACCCACCCCTCTCTTTCTGGTTTCCTTCTTGTTGGTGTAGTGGGGAGTTACAGGTGGACCCTACTGGAGCCCACCTGGGTCATGAGGTAACTCTGAAATAGGGCTAGGACCTCAGAGCCACAACAGGGTGCCTGGTCCAGGGCCCAGGGGCCACCCTGGCCTGGGTGCCAACGAGGGTACTGACAAGGACACACAAGTCCCGATCTTGTCCAGATCACTATGTTGGGAAGGTCTAACCACTCCCAGCAGGTGTCACACAGGTACTGTGTCTGAGCAAGCCACACTCAGTGCCTTCTCTGACAGGTGAGTTGGTCAAGTTTCCTCGAAGGTCTGGGTTCTGGGGTCCTCCTTTGTGGGCCCTCCTGCTATACCTTACAGGGTCTGAGTTGGCGTACTACTCAGCCATGCTTGGTCCCAGCAGCCTTCATTCTTTATTTCCCAGCAGCACTGATAGTCTGCATCTCTGTACCACAAGATTTTAGGAGTCCCTTCCCACAGGTGAATGCAGGAGGACCAGCTAGCCTAGCCCTGGGATTCTATATAGAGTTTTACGGCTGTATTTTCCCATATAGATTTAGGTTTCTGGAGAGCCAAGAGGTATGTGACATTTCTTCAAATTCTTCCCAGTCCCAATCATAGTGGTTATCTACTTTAGACATTTGATAGCAGCTGTCTACTGAGTGGAGGAAATACAAAACATGTCTCTGTGTGTGCATATGTATATCTGTATCTATAGGTATCTATCCATTCATCTAATCCATCTGTATCTATATATACATCTATATGGTTGTATCTATCTACCTATCTGTCTGTCTATCTATAGAGAGAGAGAGAAAAAAAGTCAATCAATGACTAGGTAAAATGAGTCATCAAAAATTGGTATGACTTCAAAACAGTTTTAAACAAAGCTGCTTATGGCCAACTTGTTTTTCAACATTAAATACCCTTATTAATAAATCAAACATAGGGGCTGGAGAGATAGCTCAACAGTCTAATGTGCCTGCTTAGGCAGGCTTACACAAGTGCAGGGACCATAGTTTAATCCCTAGCACCACAAGCTGCGCCAGCTCTATCCTGAGGGTGGGCTGAGCTGGCCACATTAAATAAGTAAATAAATAGTAATATTTAAAAGTATAGAATCTCTTTTATATAATGCTTATAAATATGCAGTATGACATTCATGTGAGACTTCTGTAAAGCTGATTTATTTCTTTAAGGGTGCTTTCTTCTTTACATTTTTGTTTCTGGTAATTCTAGGGATTGAACCCTTTGCACTGAGCTGCACACCCAGCCCTTTCATTTTATTTTTAACCTGAGGCAGAGTCCGAGAGTCATTCTTCAGCCCAGGCTGGACTCCATGCCAAGTCCCTGGCTCTGCCCACAGTACTGGGATCACAGGTGTTTACCACCACACTAAAGCTGCTGTAGTTAACAGCATGTTTAATGTCATCCAGTATACATGAGCTCTGACTTTCGGGACTGATTTGTACCCCAAACCATTTCTTGCTAGAAGGATCTGCTGAGCCTGTACTACATATGAGTTGGTCTGGGAGGCAGGAAGCCCAGGTACTGGACCAGCACGCAGTCGTTGGTGCTTGCCTTCACTCTGAGTATAATTTCTACTCAATGAAAACAGGTGCATGGAAAGGTCATCTGCTTTGCTTTACTTAGCCAGTTTGAGAAATTACCCCAGCTGGATGACAGCTGCCAACAAAAGATAAAACAAAAGCTGCATGTGTGCTCACACGTGCACATGTAGATACAATGCACTTTGTTAGGGGTTCATGCACAAGATAATGTACTTCTGCCTACATTATCAAAAGGAATAGAAATATCTACTCTAACATATAATAATGCTTTTGCAAATTTCCAAAAACATAAAGTGTATAAAAGGCAAAATCCATACTAGCCAGGTCTCACATTCCTATGCATTCTTTCTTAATATGGGAATTGCTGAAGGAAAGATGTGGAATGTTCCATTCATGGAGTCTGTTAAAGTTCGCTGTTGTACCTGGTTTTCCTTAAGGCACTAACAACTCCTTTCTAGGCGTCCAGATCCATCAGGAGGACAAAGAAGAAAGCCATGGACTCACCTCGATGCTGAAGTATCCTCTGTCAACGTAGTCCCCCAGGAAGAGGTAGCGAGTGTTGGCAGGAGATCCTCCCACTTCAAAGAGCTTCATCAAGTCAAAGAATTGCCCATGGATGTCCCCACAAACTGAAAGAAACAAGTGAGATTCATTCATTTGTTCTTTAGCTTATAGCACTGAGTTAGCTAATAAAATGAAACATTTTAGAGTCAGAATTAATTTCATCTAAGCCAAAACATCATTTTGCAAAACAGGAATGTGAGACCAACAAGCTAAGTACTTCGCTTAGAATCCCCAAGGGAATGTCTGGCTGGAGTACCCCAGTCTGTTCACTCACAAATTAATCAGAAACATAAGGATAACAATAATAAACATAATGGCTGTTACTTTTACGTATTTAACAATTTTGTAGGAGGCACTGTGTTGAGAAATCATGCACACTCTGTAGGTCAGTTCTGACACTATCAAGGAACAGGTTTTCATTTTTCAGATGACAGGTAAAGAGAAGGTCCAGCACTTGGCATGATCTATGCACCGTGGAGTTGGGCTGCATGAGCACTACGCAGTTGCTTCCTGGAGACACAAGGCTGCTGATACGCATCATAAAGATACTGAATTGACTAAACTATAATCAATTAACACACACATCCTTATCTAAGGTTCTACCTAAAAAACCTGTAATTAAATTTAAATTGTAAAGAAAGGTACTTTTACAGGACACATTCTGATACCAGCAGTCTAGATTTCAGCAAAAGGTATAGAAGAAACTGTGCAAGAATAAAAGCAATCACTACAAACTGCTATTTCTTAAAAATTTCCACTTCCTTTAAAGAAATTCTTTTAAAAACTACTTACTCAGTACTTCCTTCACTTACTACTTTCAGAATCATCAAAAGCAAATACCATATTGGGGCTGGAGATTTAGCTCAGCGGCAGAACGCCTGCCTAGCAAGCTGGAGGCCCTGGGTTCAGTCTTCAGCACCAAAGACAAAAAATAAACCTCAATGAAAAATAAAAGCAACAAACAAAAAAAAAAAAAAAAGAAAGAAAAACGAAAACCCACCCAAATATCATCACCTTTGTAATGCAAATGAGGACACAGTGATGCTTAGTGATTATCACTGCTATAAAATGAATAAATCGACTGCAAATTGAACTCTCTGATTCCACATTTTTTTCTGACATGCTCCATTATAGTGCCTTGAATATCTCCGTGTGTCTTTACATTTACTGTACATGCATCACTTAACTTTTTTGAGCCTTCACAGGCGGCTGAATCAAACTGAGATGGTACAGGAACCTTACTAGGCTGACAAAATGTGAGGACAAAATGTGCCTTTAGTCTTCCCACTCCCCTTCCCTGCTGCATGTGATGGTTTTTCATCTTTCTTTCTGATTCCTGGCTATGGATAAAAGTTACACGATAATTGTTTTTTACTTCTCCAAGTCAAAGACATTAACACCAACATATTCATTCAGTTGCAGGCTGCAGGTCAGGAATGAAGAGAAGTTAACAACTGAAGGCGGCAGGCAGAGTAAGAAGAAGTCACAGACAGGCCCTGGTGATGAACAGGGTAAGGTCATCTTCTCTTTTGTTGCACTACAAGAAGTACATTACCACGAAATGAGTTTTAGAAATACAGAAAGTGAAGCTCTTTCTATTCTGTCTATGATAAGTGATTCACCTTATGACACAAAACAGCAATGGACAGGGCTGCAGACCCAGCAGGGAAAGCCAAATGGCCCCAATCACTCGTCCCTGAGCCTTTCATGTCATCACTGAGTACCTGAGGGCCCATCCTACGTATGAGCTGGGCAGCCGCCCCATCTGAAGGCACACTTCCACAGAACAGCTACTTGTGATCATGTCCAGCAAAGCAAAAGGATGCTCATGCAAAACTGTGCTTGAAAATCAAAGCTAAACCAGAAACAAAAACTCAAATCATAATCCAAAACTGGGGCTATTCCATAAGGATATCTGGGATTTTAAAATCAACCTCAAGATGTTCTTAAAGCCAAGTTTTTGTCTTCCCCATGGAAGACAAAATGGTTGCCCCCATCTGTGCACTGGGTCTCAGATCCTTGTCACCTCCTCATCAACATCCTTCTGCCCTCTGCACGTGAGGCTTTCTCTTTCCCACTGTCTCACTTTCTCCACAGGTCTCCTTGTGGTGATGTGCTCTTCCCACTGGACCAGAACCTCTGTGGGGCTATGTAAGTTGCAGTCCTGTCCACTGTGTCCCCAGCACCTTCACCGAGAACTCAAACTACAACAGTCAAGGTTAGGATGGAATGTGGGGCCTCTGTGAGTCTCATGTGGTGTTCCTCTTCTCATGCCACATCCGAACCACCTGAGAGGTTTTCAAATAATAAATTCTTCCCCTCTGTCCGGATCTCCAAAGATATAGGTTTATCTTTTGTGGTTCTTACGTAGTGGCTAGTCAACAGACCTGAGCTTCACACATGCAGTCCTTAAGCAGTGAGCTTCTCCTCACAGGGTCATGTACAGGAGGGAAATCGGTTTGAAATAGTGATGCCTCTGTGTCTACCTCATGCTGGGATGAGATGAGTTTCATGGCTGTACTGAAGGATCCCAATGCAGTGACACTGGGATGGGGTCCAGGAGTGACGCCTCCACCTACTGAGGGTGACAACAAAGGCCAACCTCCTTTGGACAAGGGATGGTAGCTACAGCTCACACCTTGCATATTCCACATGTGAGTTAAATAATTTTCCCTCATATTCTAAGCTGTTTTGAACCAATTTCCTAAAGAAAATGGCCACATGTTGGGCCCAAGAGGAACAGGGTGGGACTGTATAAGGCATCACAAATCAGGAAGGCTGCTGGCCACTATCCCTTCTCTTGGGGTACACAAATGCAAGGGTCCAGAAAAAGTGACAAATGCTTGATGAGGCAAGGCATCTGTGTGGCTGCTGAGAGCCTCCAATTCCCCAGGAGGCTAGGTCCTACGGTCTTCTGTACTACTTGGTCTTACAGAACTTCTAGCCCATGCAGGCACTGGTATGCTCTTTTATACCTTCAAGGTGGGCTCATCCTTCCCCAACAGACAGTTGCTGTTCCCACCCTGCCCTGATCCCCATGGCTAGCTGCTTATTTCCACCTTCACCCTGCTAGGACAAGCATCAACTACCCCACGGCATGGGGAAGGATGATTCACAGGCACAGCACTATTGTCACAGGAGAGGGATAAACAAACACTGGTGCTCCACTGTACAGCTGTGTGACACAGTGAACAATAAGTGCAGTGTATTTTAAATTAGCAACCAGTTTTGGACATATTCAGCACAAAGCAGTGATAAAAGTTTAAGCAGATGGATACTGTCTCAGTTACATTTCTCTCATTGCTGGGACAAAATGCCTGACTCCTAAAATTAAGGAAGGAAAGATTTATTTAGCTCATAGTTAGTGGTGGTTTCAGTCCATACTGAGTTGGCTCCAAGGCAGTAAGTGGCACATGGCAGGGGGCAGCAGTTCACGGTGGTGGAAAACAGCAAAAAGCAAAGGGAGGAACAGGGGCTGCAGCGCAGCGGCTAGCAAACCTCTCTTACTTCCTTATCCTGTAGTCAGACTATCCACCCCAGGGTGGGTATATCACTCATACTCATAATTCCAGCAACGGATCATGAGTTAATCACAAACTCTAGAAGCCTGCCCCAATGACTGCATGAGGCTTTAGGGAGACAAGACACAAACCGTAACAGATACAACAATGTCCCTAATTTGATACTTACACAATGTACACATGAATAGAAAAGTCTCAAGGCACCACACACCTACGCACTATTATTACTTTTCAATTGAAATTGAATATACAGTGAGGTAAAGGAAAAAAGAATAAGAAGCACAGAGGCACAAGGCCCACAATAAGAGAACTGCCCAGCATCCACAGGCTAAACCTTCCGCAAAGGTGTACTATGTCCTCAACAGAGAATAAGAGAATGTGCATATTTATGCCAGGAGCTTAGAGTTACAGCATTTAATAAATTAACACAGAATAGATACTGAAATGAAATACAAAATTTTTCTCCAGGGGCAATGGCTATTCTTGCCCCTTAGCAATCTGATAGCTATTTCCCTATGAGAATGAACGCTACAGTTTTTGCAGCAGAAACAAAGAATGAGTTACTCACAAACTCTTAACAGCCTGCCACAATGACTTCAGGAGGCTTTGGGGAGACAACTAGACAGTTGTCTCCAGGCACACAGAACAGGCAGATCTATCTGGTGAGGAGCGAGAGGCTTTCAAGAAAGTGGATCTGGATCTTGGACTCTACTCTGAGACCGGGAGGGAGGGATGGACACCGTCTGTCAGGGATGATGCCAGACTCTTGACTACTCTCAGGAGACACAACCAGGCTACCCAAAGGATCAGCTGAGTGCCACCTAAATGTCAACGACATTTCATGTAACTTTTAAAGCCATTGTGCCTCCACATGACCCTTGGCCCACTTTGAATAAAACGTCATTGGAAATGATGTCATGTACATGTGGGGCCAATCATTTTGATCATAGTTGAAGCCCTTGGAATCTTGAAGGAAACAAAAATAGCACAAACACAAGATGTTTTAAAATTTCTTACAGAAGGCAACAGATCTAAAGAATGCCCTAATATAACTATATAACTACTAGAAAGCTAGATATTAAGCTTTGAAATTACAGGCCTGGCAGATATATATACATGTAAATATACATGATTCTGTGTAAAGCCACCACAGAGTGTGTTGGCAGAGTTCCAGGCAGTGTAGTTGTCTGTGAGATGCTGCAGTCCAGCTCTTACTGACCTCAGATTAAGCTTAGCAGTGTTAAGGTACAGCACAAGGAGTTCTGTGGCTAGTGAGGACACTCCTGTTGTACAAATGGGATAGAAAGCCGTCAAACGGCAAGGCCATGAGCCCTAACTCCAACACTTTCTTATGTGGCAAAAAATGTCCAGCAGCATGCTGAAGAGCACAGGGTGGTCCTTGAGAACAAAGTCTCAGAACAGGAGGGCCTTGAGCTCCTCACCAGAGAGACACAAGCACTGAGGAGTGGGGCTGTGCGCTCACATGACAAACCACATGCAGAAGGTCAGTTTTGCAAGCGAAACAGACACTTCTCAGAAGAGGT